AGTATTTCTAAGGGCCTCGTAACGATTGGTTGCCTAAGGCCTCAAAAATTTCAGGGCCGGCTCTGGGTAGTTTCAAATAGTAATACATTTAGAATGCAATGGACATGAACAAAATTACAATGTTTTAAGAGTACCATCTTGTTAACATATTAAGTACATATATTCGCAAGATTGTGCTTATACTTTTATCCCTCTAGAAATTAGCTCATGTTTGATTTTGATAAAAATTAGATTTTATGAAAGTTGATGAAATATGTGGTAGTGAAATTGATAAAAGTTGTCGATCTTATGAAATGTGTAGTTGAAAATAAATTTGAGGGGGGGAAAAAAAGAGTTTTAAGACAAGGAAATCAATTAGGGTCTAAGATTCCATGTGAGGATATATGTTACAATAAAATTTGAACAATTTCATTAAGGTTTGACGAATTAGACGACGACTAAGTGTTTATTGCATTTTCAAATGCAATAACAGGAACTCCCGAATACATTATCAATAATGAGCTGTCGTAAATTCAAAAGGTACAATATTTTGAACTCTATTCGACTTGCTTGATAGGTTTGTCGAGCACATGTTAGAATTATAGTGTTGACATCCATTTGGCAATATTCAAGTCATGCAATTATTAGACTTGTTCTTAAAAATTGGAAAATTACCCGTTTATGTACCCTTTTTTGCCTCCATTCATTAAAGTTAAACAATAATATAGTTATTAAATTGTTTAATTAATTTATTTGTTTTTAAGAGTTAAATTATTCGAATATATTTGGTAAATTAAGATTTCTATTGTTTATTATATTTCTTAGATAATCTATGTTGTCACCTTTTATTAAAATTAATGAAATTTTATAGAGTTTTTTATTTAAAGTAATGAAATTATTTTATAAAAAATAACGGAGCTAGGCGGGACTTCCTCTCCCAGAACCAACCTAAATACCGGATTGAACGGGTAATCCCTACCCGTCGAAGCGGTGTCTCACCTATATTGGATTTGGCAATTTTTTTGGCCTTTTTGCCATCCCTAACCGGGATAATACTTTGTCAGAATAAGGTTAAATCCCAAAGATGCCCTCACTTCCCAACGTAATGACCTTTTTGTTCACGTTTTGTGTCGTGTTAAAGGTGGACATTGATAGTGTGACTCGGAATTCACGTCTTTACACAGTGGCCATGAGCTCCAAATTGTCAAACTGAGAGGTACTACTTTTTTCCATAATCTTTCCATATAAAGTTTTAGTAATTTCATATTTAGAATTATTAATTATTATATATATTATCTTGGATTTTACTTATTTTGATTTTGGAATCCTATTTGTTTTCATTTTTAAAATTATGTAATTCTTAAATAGATGGTTTTTTTTTTTTTTTTTTTTTTTTTTTTTTAAAAAGCTTGAAATTTAAAGTTTTTAATTT